TGATAAATAGTAATGCGTGTGCGATGGGTCTGTTTTCTAGGCTTTTCTGACACGTTCTGGTTGCTTTAAAAGGGGAAGTTTGGTACTTTTTCAAGGTTTCTGTGATTTTACACTGCAAGAGACGATTTACAACATCGGAAGGCATATTGAGAGTGCATTTTAAGTCATTGGAGGCTAGTTCTTCAAGGGATCTCTTATGCAAAATGCTTATTTATATTTGATATTTTAATTTACATAATGAGTAGCTAATTCTCTCTAGGTTAGATTTTGTTTGATGAACCTATTTTAATATTGTAGGGACATATGTTTGATTTGTTATTACATGAATAATTTGAGTTATAATTATATTCAATTGCACCTTGTTCTGAATGTTTTTATGTGAGATACTCTTTTAATATGATTTTGGCTGCATAGGGAATACTGACCATTAGTCTATACGTTGGACCTAGGACAATTGTTGTGCTTACGCCGGTTGAGTAGGGATATGAGATCTCAAGTAGTGGATTAGGAATTAACATTCTATTGTATTGCCTAATCTTACTTACGCTTGTGGACTAGGGATAGAAAACTCCAAGTATAGATTAGTGAGCTATACACCAATGGATTAGGTATAAGGGTTTTGTTAATTTATCATGGAATTATAGCAACGATATCATTTATGCAATACATCGAACATCAACGATAGAGAAATAGGGGATTCTATACAAAACCTAACCACTTTTTTATTATTGACTTAACACTCTATATTCTTTTTCGCATTAAAATGTGAAAGTCTCTCGTATTTAGTATTTTCTAAACATTGCACAATTATTATCTTGTTAAATATCATTTCCTGTGGATTCTATCTTTCTATTACTTCGACATTATCGGTACACTTATCAAGAAGTCATCAATTGATGAAGATGAAGTGGATAGAGGGAAGTTAAGAGATGAGATGGGTCTGAAAGAGTTTAAAGAAGTTGAAACGAGATCAACTGTGATGAGTATTGATGTTACCATCACACAAATGGATATTTT